AAGAGTGAAGACTGTGAAAATCTTGAAACAAGGAGTATTTTACATGGTCAATTAGCTAGCTACCTCATCTAGAAGGGAACTGAGTCAGTTCTTCAGAAAAGACTAGCTGTGCAGAAAAAGGGAAAAACAATCCAAAGAAGGAACCAACATTTTAATGGATTCCCCAATGAAGCACTCATAAACAGTATCATGGTACTGTTACCCATATATAATTATAAGCATGAAACGAATTAATTTACAGGTTATAGATGCCACCAACAATATACATTCACTTTTCTGGTGTTACAACCTATGATGTTTTACCATGCAAACAGCAGAAGTAGTGTAATAGTTTGTTTCACAGACCTTTCCTGCTGCATGCCTATCTTCCTTAAAAATAATGCTTTCTTCATTTACCGGAGGTAGGCCTTTCAGTGACTCAATTACTACTAAAAGTAAAAAAAAGAAAAAAAATTGGAAGTTTAGTATATTTTAAAATGTTAAAACAACAATTTAACCAGCCATAATTTAGAATTCAAGCAGCAACTGCAAATAATACAAAGAATATTTCATAATTAAACAGATTTTAAACAGTTTTTAAATGCTTGGGCAACTTACTCATAAGCCTATATGCAATATGCAATCTCTGAAGCTAGATTCCAAATACAACTTTACATTTGCATAAATGTCCATGAAAATAAACTTGTGAATATGGAAAAAAAATGTAAAACCTGAATAGCACAATCCAGGAAAGTTCTACCATACAACTCAGATTACATAATCCCAGCTCCCACATAATGCTGGAAACAAGTCTGATACATTCATGGGAGTTCTGTGCATAAAATTAGCATAGCATGACAAAACTGGGGAAAAATAAAAAATTAGATATGGTCCGTTTTGTGAAGAAAGCAACTTTATTGGTTTAGATTTAAAAAAAATTCAATCACATGCTGCATTTACTTCTAGCACTGCAGATCAGAGATTTAGTACATTCAAAGGATGTTACACAAGACTTACCATCTGCAATAATCTTTAAAAAAAAAGGCAAGCAGTAGATGTTTTAAGACTGCTCTAAAAAATCATCACAAAAATCTTTGAGAATAGAAAAAAAAGATTAACAACTTAAACCATAAGGCTTGCTACCAGCTTCCAATAAAATTATAAAAAATTTAAATAAACAGCTACTAAAATAATGTGTTAATCTCAATATAAATTCTTTATCTCTAGATTTGAATCTCTGTCCTTCTTCACTGATGGAGACAAAGCACTTCACCTGCTGGTAAAGATAGCCGGTACCTCTCTTTTAGGTGGTAATATTTAATTTTAAGAAAGCAATCATCATATGTCTTTTTAAAACTTAATACAGGCAGACTGGCCAGTTACAGACTTAGTTCAAGTCTTTGCTTTTTCAAAAGATTATCAAACAAGCTATCTGTGTTCAGCTTCACTCACCCAAGAAGAAAAGCACTTCAGGGGAAAAAGAAGAAAAACAAGTTGATATGGCAGATGTTAACACAGAAGGGGCCAACCTCTTCAGCAGGCATGCCACAAATTAGCCTTGTACCCTCCCTGAGTGCTGCTCCAACCCCCTTCCCAACATGCTGCTCTGCTTTCTGCTCTCTGACCTGTGCTCTCTACCTGATCTGCTGCTCTGCCTTATGCTCCCTGCTCTATACTCTCCCTGATCTGCAACATGCCACACAAGGAAGCTGCCTGTGCCACACTCCTCAGGTTGGCCACCCCATATCTAACAAACACCAAATTAAGAGCAAACCTGCCATCTGTTATGCAAGGTTGCACTGGAGATGACTTCTTAGCTTCTCAGCCACTTTTAGCTGATTAACTAACAGAGAAGTAGCTAAGCATCCTGCAGAGATATAACTTTCAGATGCAGACCTTATTATGGTTATCCATAATTTTCACTTTGCCATTTCAAACTACAATGTACTCCGAGTGGAAACAAGTTGCAGCTATGCTTTCTTGAGCAGGATAACAAGTGAAGCGTTTCATTCTCTGTTAAGTGTTTTCACTTCATGAATATTTCACACCACTACACTACAGTCTGCACAGGCTGCCTATTATAATCTATGGCCCTACAAGTAAAACATAACCATTCAATTGTAAAAGCATAATGTTCAAATAGGTATTTGCAATGCTGCTTCACCACTAGCTGTACTCTTCTCTAGCACAACGAGCCTTCACTGAACAAACCAAAAACAAAAAAAAACCAAGCACCATTTGGTACACTTGCACTATAAAATAAAACAAATAAACATGTCTTAAACTAGTTTACTAATATAAGCAAACCTATAGGCTTACTACACCTTCCTCATTTACCTGAGCACATGGATTACAGACAAATTAGTACATCTTCAGTTTGTTCATAAAAAAACAAAATCAAGCAGTAAACACAAGTGCTTAACTCAAACTTACCAATGGAAAGACATTAAAAAAGGAGGCTTTGATGTCATATAATCCTTTTCTGCACTACATGAAGTAGTTGAGCGAAGTGCCCCTCTAAGGTCTACACTTGACAGACAGACTGGACTGGCTTCAAGAGCGGGAGGGGGGAAATGAGGGGAAGCCTGAGCTTCTTCCCACTGAGATTCCATTCTTGTGGTCCCTCACTCTTCTTGATTCTCCATGGCCCCGACTCAAGGAGCTAGCACCCGGTTCTGCTCCTGAGAGAAGGACTTCACCTCCTCCTGGACTGATCCAGTACAACAAACAAATTTCAACAGACAGCACAACAGACAGTGTCTTCAGTAAAGGCATCTGAGGCAAAGGCCAGCCAGCAAGAAGTTCTGTCCCCTGCAAAGGGGTTAAGCAATCCCTCCATCTCTGTACACTCCATCCTGATCTCAGAGTAGCTCTTCTCTGGCAGCAAACCTTTAATAACCAATTTGAATGGGAAACTGAAAAACAAGAAGTCATCCACAAACTGCTTTGTGTTAAGTATGGTTTAAACAGGGACTACACATTTTTATCCCATTACCTGAATTAGCTTGCAACCCCTTGTTCTTGTGGGTTCTTTGCTTGTTGCTTCTCCCAACACTGCTCCTTTCTACCTCTGTATTCTAAACCACTCTCGCCAGTTTATACACTTAGCTGGGCACATCCTTCCACAGCATTGGTTGAAGTGAGCTCCGGTTCATGAAAGCTTACTCCACATCTCTCTCTAATTTACTTAGCTTAGACGGTACAAATCTACACTGCCTTCTGCAAAAATAATTAATAAAAATAATACACGACCAGTTTTTCCCAATCTTAAGAGTCCACAAACAAAAGTCCTTGGGCCAAAATTAGGGGTTCACTAATAGAGATTCTGGGGGCGATACTAATAGTCAATATTTAAGGAGGCATATCCGTCAATACTGATCCGATTTCCAATACAGCTGCATGCAGCTACTAAGTCTGTTGTGGTGGGAGGGAAGGGGCGTGGCGGGGGGGCAGATCAACGGCCCCCCCACCCCGGTGAAGGAGAGAAGGGGCAGAGGCAGGGGCTGCACGGCTGGGGTGGGGCATGGGACGGAGCCATGGCTTGTCAGGGGGGCAGCTCCTGCCACTGTACACACCCTGGGAGAGCATGGGGTGGGCATTCAAGGCAAGGGCCCAGACCCATATGGGGCAGGGCGAGCTGAAGCTGTGGGCAGGGTTGCACCAGGCTTTTCTTGGAGGAGGCTGGGCTCAGGGCAGGCAATGGCAGCGCTGGGAGGGAGCTATGGAGGGGGCTGCAGCCACCCCAAGTTTTGCTGTAGTCCCTACACAGCGTTGCTCCCAGTGCCACCACCACCACCCTCCCAGCGCAGCCCTGGCTCTTCCCAGCATGCGGGTCAAGGCAGAGGGTTGAACCAGAGCTCTGCCAGGCAGGTGGCGGTAGTATGGGAAGCGGCACTGCAGTGAAATATGGGATGGCTGCAGCCCACTCCGTAGCCCCCCCGCCCAGCACCACCACTGCCCGCCCAGAGCCCAGTCCTACTGAAAAGAGCCCAAAGCAGCCTCGGCTCCAGCCCGCAGCTGCAGCCTGCCCACCCCACCCCGTGCAGATCTGGGGGCACACCCCCCCCACCTGTTGCCCTCCTGAGGTTTGCACAGAGGCGGGGGCCACCTCACCCCAGCTAGGCACCCTGCCTCCTTCCTCCCTCACCACAGGAGGCACATCCCTTCCCTTCCCCCTCCTATTCCACCACACCAGACTTACCAGCCGCATGCTGCCAGGCTGTGCTCCTCGCTGCCTGTGTGCTGCACTGTGGCTGTGCACAGGCATGGGCATTTAAATCAGCCAAATTATCAGCCACTTCAGGTTGATTTCCAATACAGCCAATTTTCTTTATATTGGTACTGATCCGATATCAGAGCGATGCATCAGTGCACCTCTAGCCAAAATCAAACAAGTATTTTGAGCATTAAACTACATCTCCAGATTTCCATTCCAAAATCATATCTGTTGTTACCAAACTGTTTACATGTTTAATGTATATTACTGCTAATATGATATTTGAAATAGCCAACTTCGAATTGCCGTATTTCAGAACCTGACAACCAAAACAACTGGGGCAGTTCATGTCTCTCAATTACACATGGCAATTTGAAGACTAAGAAAGATGCCATTTACCAAATGGTCTACATCTGAAAAAAGTTCCCTTGGTAGCCACAAAGAGTAGAAATTTAGACACCAATATACAGGTTATGAGAATAACTCAGACTAAGAGAGTTTAGCTCCCCTTCCCCCCATTTGTTTTTTCAAGGCCACCTCATGGAAACTACCCTTAATATAGCTCCCTCTTGAGACTCTCATTACTAATCCACTAAAAGGCAAGAAAATGCATGGCTATAAAAAGGATGACAAAGTTATTTGGGTAAATGTGATATCTTTATTAGACCAACTGAATACTTGGAAAAAATTGGTCTTTGCAAGCTTTCAGACACAAACGCCCATCTTCAGGCATATAGAGTCTGCTGGTTTGTGTATTCTCTCCAGGGTTGGAATAGAAGCTTAAGCCAATATGCAGCTCTGTGAAAATGCACGTGGCAAGGAAGATCAGAGAGGATAGGCGTTAATAGGCAAGAGACAGGTTGGCTGGGGGAGGGGAAACAGAAAGGGGAATGTCAACAGGTGATAAGATGCAGCTGGGAAAATATAGAGCTGGGGTTACTGGATGTCAGGCAGATTATGACATGTCATAAATCCAATGTCTAGTATTTAGCCCATGATTTTTTTGTATCCAGTAGATTTATGAAGTGAAGTTTGTAGACCTGTTTACAAAACGTGCTTTGTAAATTCCCTTTGAGAATTAGAACTGAGAGCCTGGAGAGAGAGTGGTTATCTTGTGAAAAATGTGCCCCCACAGATAATTGGGTATTCTTGCCTTTGATAAATTTTCAGTGTGCATTCATTCTGGTACACAGTTGTTGTTCGGTTTATCCTACATAGTTTCCATCCAGGCATTTGGTGCACTGGATTAAATATATTATATTTCTGGAGGTGTAGGTGTAAGATCCAGGAATGGTGATGGTTCTACTGTGGGGTGTAGTTATGATGAGAGCGGTGGATGTGTTGGCAGGTCTTACACTTCTTGTCCCAGCATGGTCTAGAGGCCCCCACAATGAGGAAGGGAGTGGGGCTAGGAGTCCCAGTTCATTGGGGGGGCGCAGTTCTCGCCGCTGCACGCACCCCAGGAAGGCATGGGGGGGGGGGGGCATGTGCCCCTGGATCTGCACGCAGGATAAGGGTGGGCTGCCAGCACAGCCCAAGGCTGGGGATGCATGGGGCTCTTCCTGGCAGGGGACTGGGCTGGGGCTGCACTCCGGACAGGCAGCAGCAGTAGGAGGGGGCTACAGGGAAGCTACAGCGAATTTTGGGGTGGCTGCAGACCCCAACCCCCGCTCCCAGTGCTGCTACTCCCCGCCCCAGTGCAGCCCCAACACAGTCCCCTGCTGGGAAGAGCCCCGTGCAGCTGTAGCCCCATGCCCTTGTGGGGTACATGAGACACTGGGAGCCACCACCCTCTGGAAAAGCCATGGCTCCATCCCACACTCTGCCCATCCCTGGCTGGGCAGTGTCTGTACCAGCCCCAGCCCCAGCCCCACTCCCTCCCACAGGAGCTCAAACTGCATGCGTGCACAGGGCATTTATCAGCCACATCAGACAAAACAAAACAAAATGAAAAAACCTATTGCTGATGCTCTCAATTTTCCTCAGATCAGTGCCAATCCGATATGGGACCAATGTATCGGTGCAACTGTAAAAGACAGGTGTCCTTATCTATATTACCAACAACATTTAGTACCAAAACAAATCTTAATTATCCATTTTACATCCTAAAGTTTCAATCAGCTTGAACACAAGAAACTATTAATCAGTTCTACTTGCCTGGTGTTTCAAATTCTAACTCCTGTTACAACCATCAAGTGGGAAACACTTTAAGAATAGATCATATATACAAGCTTTGAGTTTGTATTCTGAAGTCAGGGGTGTAGGTTGTAGCGGTGTTGGTCTAACGACATAGGCAGACACGGTTCTTTGGGTAAACTTGACAGCTTTTATTAGACCAAATCAATTTTTTGAGTTGGTCTAATAAAAGCTAGCAGATATCCCCAAAGAACCGTGTCTGTCTATTGTGAAGTCAGACACAGGAACAATCATTCAGTGTCAGATTTTCCAAAAGTCTGATTTGCCAAGTTCTTAATTGTTAACGTATACTATCTGCATCTGCTGTTCCATCCATAGTTCCTCACAGTCCTACTTAGGCCGACACTACATCCAGCCCCATAGATGAAGCACATCTGCCATCCTCTGTCCTTTGGCAGCTGACACTGGCAAGATGCTAGTCACATATAGACAAATAGCACATGAAGCTGGTAGTATACCAACTATACAAACATTGTGAAAGAAAATAAGTTTGTTATTACAATCACTTCTTACTTAAAAGGGATAGGGGGGAACACAGAAATTTTGGAGTGGCCCACCACAGAATCTTCAATCCTTTCTTTCGCCCTTCTCCTATATTTTGCAAGCCAACTGAAACACAGAATATGGGCTAGAGATTTCTGAAGACATTTTTAACAGTTACAAATTAAGCATCTACTTTTTCAACAACTTTTTCCATGACAGGAAATTTTCTTGAGTGCCCCACAAAACCTTTAAAAAGATGTATTCAATAGCCAGGTAAGAAGGATTCAACAACAAAAAATGATATTCAATAAATTCATTCACATACCTTCTGTTACACTATACAAGAGCAGAAAGTCAACAGAAACGTATGCTCACTTTAAGAAATGAGATGCTGCAGTAAACACCATGTTCTCAAAACAATGAAATAAAATATGGCTGTCAGTTAAAAGAAAATAAATGCATCTTGCTTACCTAATTGATCAATAATGCTTGAAATTCTCCCAAAGGGCTTTAATTCAATATCCTCAGGCAGAATTATTACCAAATCTTCACCAAGAGGCAGTTCCTGAGAACATCAGAATAATTAATCTTCAAAGCTTTGTTTTTCACACAAAATATTACCCACTGGTGAGAACATCCCTTTTTAAACCATTTTAGACATTTAATTTTGAAAGTCAATAAAAAATCCAGTTAATTTGTAATAATACATTCAAATAATATTCAAAGTTAGTGCTCATCAAATAAGAGAGAACTAGTTTTGAGAATGCTCTCTCTTTTTTTTTTCTTTAACCATTCACTTGTACCATACCCCAATACTATAGCCAAGTATTTAAAGACAGCTTAACTCAACTGGAGAAGAATGGCTTCTAACAGCTACAAATTCTGTTTTAAAAAGCTTCACTTTCTGTCATTATCTTTTAAATAATTATATCATGACACCCATGTACAACACTAGAAAAAATACCGTAAGAGAAAATGAAATGGTATTGTGGGGAGTAAGTACAGAGATTAAGTAGCCAATACGAAAACATTGAAAAAAGTTAAAACCTGTCACTTATTTTATCATATAAAATGCTATTACTGCACTAAATTAAACACAATTATTCAAATTCAAAAACTTTTCAGCACACGAAGTTAAACTACAGGGTACAGGAGAAAACTAACACACATTTTAATTTTATGTTTTACACAATTCAGCATATGTAACAAATCTAGCTAAGCCTAACAACATGTATCATATAAGGTTAAAATGTGAAATCATCATACGTTTAAGAGATCTATGAGACAGACTTGTGTGGTTCATGTGACCAAGCTCTGGAATAGACTCCCGGTAGGGGTGGTGCAGGCACCTACCCTGGAGATCTTCAAAAGGAGACTGGACGCACACCTTGCTGAGGTTATTTGTCCCCAGCTGTCTTTCCTGCCCAGGCTGGACGCAACGATCTCATGAGGTCCCTTCCATCCCTAAACTTCTATGAATCTGAGATATGATAAATCATTCTACAGCAACAACTATTATCTTGCAAACTTTTTTTTTCTAAAACTATGAACATAAACTACTCTAGTAATACTTTTTTAATCAAGTTTTCGTTTGTCCTCACCTTCACATTTAATTTTATTACTATTAAAAGGATCAGTTCATGTATACCCTGTATTCTTGCAAGATGTCCATGTATTATAGGGTAACCTAAGTCAAGCCACACACTAGTTATCTCATCCTTAAACCATCAATACCAAGTCCTCAGGCAAAATTACTCATGTGACTACAAGAAAGTATTGACTGCATTTTCATTTTCTTCCCCTATGCCTCTGCCTCCACGAAGAAGATTCTCCCACAGTATTACATCAAACTAACAGTCTCCTTTACCCAGTTTCCTAGAAGACTTACACACAGGGCATGTCTACATGTTCATTAACGTGCTTTTGCTAATACGCATTCAAATTTAGTACCTCCATTGTGAGGTGCAAGAAAAAAAAGCTCATTAGCCTATTAACGTACATTAGCAAACATGCATGGTTTTTTTGTGACACTTTAATGCACATTAAGTGTGCATTACATGTGCTTTAATGCTCATTACCCTAAGAACTACTATGCTAATCATGTGGAAAAGGGGCAGCTGGGCTGCTAAGAGCTCCCAGCTGCCCACCCCATATTGTAGGTCCCAGAGCACAGCGAGCTTTAAAGAGCATGCCTGTACCTGTGTTTTTTTCAAATTCCCAGCCAGAGCTGCCATGCACAGAGTTTTGACAATCAGCTGATTGTGATCCCAACTACTGCAGCATGAGGCCCAGTCCCAAGACAGACCCAGGGCTATCCCAGCTGGGACAACAATCAGCTTGCCATACTGGGGAGTAAAGCCTGCCCCAGTGTGGTCCAGGGCCAACCCCAGACTGCAGTGGAGCCAGTTTGAGTCCCCCATGTAAATCTCGATGGATACAGCTTACAATCAGCTGAATGGTGAGTGGCTGGACCTGTCGTGCTTCTCTTTTAACTTGCCACTGTAGGGGAAGCTCAAGGTTCTGATTATGCCATTATAATTAGGGCAAACAGCAATGGTATGATCGGGATCCAATCCCTGATCCCAATTACATAATGTGCCATGTATGTGTACATAGCAGAAGGCATGATTGTTGGGACTGGAGATCAAGTCTCATTGCACCAATAAATGAATATATGCCAGCAGCCTAGAACACAGCAACCTTATATTTTTCAATAACTTCTTGGAGGATGCCTATAAGCAAGTTCTCTTTAAAGCTTCAGGGATGAAGCAAACAGCAATGGCTTGCCAGTGACAGGTTGCATACTTCTAAAACTTGCTTTTCTTCCTACTAAAGCAACACAAAAAGTTTAACAGACTTGTTACTTAGATCAGCGTTTCCCAATGTTTTCCAACCCAAGGCACACTTATATTAATAACAATTTTCTATGGAACACCCATTAAGGCATTCCCCATCCCCATGTTTATAAGCTCATTGCCACGGCAAAATTCCATGGCACACCTGTTCATTTGTGATAGCATGCTATTGTGCCACAGCACACCAGTTGGCAAATACTGACTTAAATTTTTCTTGCCCCAAAAGACCTAAGCATCAAAGTTTGCTAACCTGTAACCCATCCTTAGAAGGACCTTATTCCCAGGATGCAGAACAGCACAGAAGATAATTTATAGTAGTACCTGGTACAACACTTACATCCCCTCCATTCCTGGAGATTTTGGGAGTGAAGCTATTAAAAAGCAAAGTGATTCAGTTGTCTCAATTCCTTCTACCACCTTCTCAGA